ATAATTATAATATTATTATTTAATAAAAAGTTAATTATTATTATTATTGGCACTTGGGCCTTGTGACCTAATGGTTAGTGTCATTGACAAAGTACATATTTTCCTCCTCTTTCGGACGAGTTTCGAACCTCTCATGATAAAAAAGTTCAAAAAAAATTAATTATTGAAAAAACAAAAAATATCAAATTACAAAATATTAGTATTTTTTTTTATTTTGAGTTGTAAAATCAATAACAATTGTCAATAACTTAATTAATTCAGTGATTTTCTTCTTTTGTTAAAAATAAAAAATTCTGATTTTGAGTCATATAACATGTAAGTGAGGTGGAATAAGGGATAAGAGATGGTTGTCTCCCATTATGTAAAAAAAAATCATTTAATATTTTTTAATATATTATACTCATATATTATATAATTTAAATTTCAAATTTTTTATTTTCATTAAAATAAATTATTGTTAAAAGTTAGAGTATGGCATCAATAAATTAAAAAATTCTAACAAAAAAATATTTAAGGGTTTTAATACTTTAAATATTTAATTTTTTGTAAAAATTATTTAAATATATTTAATAATTTTTTGTTTATTAATTTATTAAAAATATTTTAATTTTATTATTATTATTTTAACATTTTAATTAAGATGATATTCTGATTTTTCATAATCTCATTCTAATAACTATTAAATTAAGAGAAAATCCTGATAATGAGGAAAGGGCCGAAAGGCCCGCCTCCTCGATTGGTTGGTTGCAGTCCGACGGAAAACAACTTGCACAAGAAGAAAATAGCGTTATTTCAGGACACAGCCACGTCACTGGGTTTGCTGTTGAATCCGTCGTCGAGCCGTGGGATTCGCGCGCTCCAGTTGGCTTCATCTCCTCATCGCTTCACTCCATTTCCCATTTTCAACTTCAGATTTCCAGGGCAAAGGAGAGAAACCCTAAAACCAGAGAGAACAACCGATGGGGAATTGGTTCGACAAAGAGCCACCACCGCCGGTGGTGCTGGTTCCGCCTCTCTTTGATTTCCCTCCGTTGGCTGCCCGCACCAGGTTCAATTCACTCATCGTTTGAGAGTCACCCCTTTTCCCATTTTCTACTTTTCAAAGACTTTTCAATTTCGTATGCAAAATTTTAACTTTATTTTGCTTTTTCGGTTGGGCTCATTTTCTGTGGACTATTAATCAAGTTTAGTGTTGATGCATAGTGTGACGTTGAAGTGTGTATTGGACTATTGGGGCACCATAAGTATGATTTATTCCTACACCTGACATTCAAAAGTTATGTAATTTTTGGGTGAATGATGATGTTGTTGTGTATGTTTATTGCAAAATGAGTATAGGGATTTTGAGATTGAAGCCTTTTGCTTACCCCTTACAGTAAGGTGATTCAGCATCTGCTATTCTGTTTGATTACACTGGTATTACTCAGAAGTTTTATTATGATGCTCATAAGCCAAGAAATTTTATTCTTCATGAAGTGGGGTCTCAACTTTGGAAGCAATAAATTTCATATTCTTTGAAGATTACAATTAGTGGGAAAGCCATTGTCCATCACGGTTTAGTCTAAAAAGTTGTCATGGTATGGGCTGATAATTATGCAAACAGTGTAAACACAAACAAACCCATATGATATACTTCCTAGCAAAAAATGGGAATGAAAAATCCAATATGGTTTGCTTCCATTACAAATAATTTAAGTTATACTCTGAGTTATTTTGGTTTGGAGACTGGAATGTATTCCATTGACGTATAGAATGCAGGATGCTGGAATCAGCATACAATCTGTTGTTTGGGAAGCTTGCTTTGAAATGCCTTTTTGATGATTACTTTGAAGAAGCAAGGCATTTTAGCACTAGAATGATGCTGAAGCCAATCGATGATCCTCGCGTGGATTTGGTGGCAACTGTATCCTTAAATGCTTCACTTTTCTTCTTCATCCATTAATTGTTGATTATTTTGATATTTGTTTATTATGCATGTGTTTATTGACATATGAGCTAATGAATTTGCATCAAATGAGCATAAAAAGTTTGTTTCCCTTGACCTGATTTAGGTTTCAGGTCCACTTGATAATAATACCGATGTTGTTGGAAATGCAACATTTCGCTGGCAAGGGTATTTGAACTGTTTTTGCTTTTCTACTTTTCAATAGTCAGTCTCTTTTGCAATACAGTGTATAATTAAGCAAATGTTTTAATGCTTCTGATAAGAGCAGTGATGTTTATGATCCTCATACATTTGCGGAACTTTTCGTATCAAACACTGAACCGTAAGGAACTTTTCTTTGCATAAATGTTTGACTTTTTTATTTCATTCTTTTTTACCCCACTTCTCAATCATAAATCACTGTTCTCTGAATTTGCTATCATTTCAGTGCTTTACAGGTCCGATCATGTGCTTACCATCCTAGATATGGATTTGGAGCATTTGGCATATTTCCATTGATACCAAAGAAAAGGTGATTCATATTATTAAATCTGCCACCATGGTGCTTGAGCTAGTTGATAGGCCATTTATCACATGCAATCTGATGATAATCCCTGTAAATCCTGCAGAGTAGCTGATGGTGTTATGGGATTGAGATATGGCTCTGGAAATTTATCATTTGGAGTTAGAGTTCTACCTTCTGCTCTTGCCTCTACAAGTTTGAAATGTATTGAATAAGTCCCCTTCTTATAGATGTTTAATGATAACAACACTCAAGGTTCTTAAAACTATAGTTTTCTTTCATATAAACTAATTTTATTGGTCTTAACTCTGCGATTAGTTTCTTACATATGGTTTACCTACAGTGAAGATGTTCAAAATATGTTTTATATCATTCCTATTGTGTGATTATCACCCTTTGCAGCTGATGGTGAAACACTACAGAATGCATGGCTGGTGAGCAAGATGGGATGTTTGACTGTTGGGGTTCAGTATGAGCCACAATGTAAGTTAAATTTTCTTGTATCAGATTCTTTTGTGAAATTAAAGGATCACCATGTAAATCTTCTTGAGGGATTGCTAATACACTACTTCTGCTTGGTTTGAGAAGGGTTCTTTGGGTTAGAAGGAATTTAATGAGAATGCTTTGTTCAAACATCTTGTTTGGGTACTACAGGATATTGAACTGGAAGGATCTTAATCTGCAAGGAAGAACTGAAAAACTATAGGGATTGTGGGGTAGAATGCATCCCATCACATCCTGTGCATGCACTAATGGGCTTTCTGTGAAGTTTAGAACTTATATAAAATAAATCTTTCCATCCAATCCAAAGTTTGTAGCCTTTTCAATGTCACCATGTACTCTGGTCTCTTCTTGAAGTTTATACAAGATCATGATAGAATTGATAAATGAAGTTCGTCTTTTTCATGCTTCTATTTTAGATGGAAGCAATGATGCCTTGAACTATAAAAACATAAAGAACTGGAGCTGTGCAATTGGCTACGGAGTTGGGACAGGCAGCCCATTGACCCCATCTTTCAACTTTAGCCTTGAACTTGCTAAAAGTTCTCAGGTTCCTTATTCATCTTATTTATTTGTGCATTATCAAGTACTCCTCTGAGAATGTCCCGCATTTAGCATTCTATGGCATTGCAAAAATGTTTGATTTCATTCAGTTGTTAGATGCCTTTGTTTTATGATAGGTGTTAGCCCTCCATTATTCATGACTTGGTTCCACACATTAGCCAGAGATCTAATGTAAATAAATTTCTGAATTTGAAAAAGAAAAGTGAAATGAGACAGTTTAACAATACCATAATAGGTAGTAGACAAAGAAGAAAGCAATTTCCACCTACTTTTCTTGTAATTCCTGTGATGTAGAGCTTTTAATGGGTCACGGATACTTTCACCTTCATCAACTAGTGTAGACTGTAGAACAGAAACTTAATTGACTTGACTATATTTTAGTGGGTTGAATCCTGATTTGAGCTGTATTTTTCTTTAAAATAATGAAAATAAGTTCAAATTTTTTATACAGGCATTATTATTTGTGAAATTGTATTTTAATATTTTATTCCTTACCTCTCAATTGCAGTTTATCGCCTCATTCTATCAGCATGTGGTGGTCCAAAGAAGGGTATGTTGATCTGTCTAATTCTCCTCTCTAGGAGATGGCTCTTTATTATTTTGTTTTCTTATAGCTCTGTCTATTTCTCCTTTCTATAAGATAGCTCTTTATTTCCTTTCTTATATCTCCAATGATGTATGATAAAGCATCTTAAAGGGCCTAACCCACATGAATTTTAGCCTCTATTTGAGTTCAGGGCTGAACATATCACATGGTTATGTTTTTTTTCCCATTTTGGAAGTATCACATCACATGTTTACTAATTGTAAATAAGGCAATTATCTGTCTACCTAATCTTTTGGTGTACAATTTTCAGTATCGCCCACCCCTTTCTCTCTCTCTCTCTCTCTCTCTCTCTCTCTCTCTCTCTTTATGCTATTTTGCTGTTGGTTCTATCATTTTGGTGGGTTGGTTTGTGAAATGGTTCTGAGTAAAGCTTTAAATTGCTTCAATTAAACAGGTGAAGAATCCACTTGAAGCAAATGAAGTAGTTGGAATAACAAATTACATTGACTTTGGCTTTGAGTTGCAGAAAAGGTAGTCCAACTGATGGAAGTATGGAACTAATAGGTGGTCAAAATTCTCATCTAACTTAGTGTTGTCATGTTTTAAAGGGTAGATGAAGCTAAAGAATCAAATAATATCCCGGATTCCACTTTTCAAGTAGCTGCATCCTGGCAAGCCAATAAAAACTTCTTGCTAAAGGTAGCACTTATAATTCAGATGTAATCTTTATGATATATGGCATTCAGTGAACATCTTTTTTCTTCTTTTTTTTTTCAGGCAAAGGTGGGACCACTCAGTTCATCTGTGGCACTGGCATTCAAGTCCTGGTGGAAACCTTCTTTTACTTTCAGCCTTTCTGGTACTCTATTTTTTCACCAAAATTCAAGAGTCTCACAGCCTAGTTACAGACACTAGTTAAAATAGCTCTTTTTTGGTTATGATATGTGGCTTCATGCAATATAGAAGTTGGTTGGTGTTTCTAAATATTTCAACACAACAATTTAAAGCAGAGTCAAAATTTTAATTATTTTCTTTCTTCTGCAAGATGGAAAATAATTAACAATTTCATCTTTCTGCAGCAACTAGAGATCGTGCAGGAACTACAGCTTGTGGAGTTGGCATTCGCATTGAAAATCTAAGAGAAGCCAGGTTTGTATGTTTTACTTTGTTCAACCAACATCGCAAGATTAGTTTATGAGAAATGATTAGCCCACCAATTACTAAGTTTAAAAACTAAGCATGTTGAGGACTAATATATCTTATTCTGTTCTCAGCTATCAAAGAGCTGATCCGAATTTCATTATGTTGACACCAAGCAAGGAGCACCTAGCGAAGGGCATTGCTTGGGAAGTTGGGAAAAGACCAGTGCTACAGTCAGAGATAAATGCTGGAAACTTTGAGAGCTTGCCAAATGAATTGAGACCCCTTGATAAAATTTTCTAGAACTCATTGGTCTATCATGCAGGATACAGTTGTTTCTTTTGTAGGAAGTAATCGCTTATGACTAGTTAGGACTTGGATGAGAATCCTATTTCAGGCCATTTCCATCTGTCTACTTTTTGGAAGAAAAAGAAACAACCTTGGCACATCATCATGAAAGGGTTTTCTCAATAACCATCTATTGCTTATTGTAGAACAAGATCTGATCGTTCTACCTAACGAGTTGTGGCCTGATTAGCAAGGTATTTTGATTCTTTCTCACTTTGTTAAAATCATTAAATTCCTTGGATTGGTTATAAAGGGGCAACTCTTCACAAAATGCTATAATTCCTAGTCTTGATTTTGAAAAAGACTGCATCATACCAGAAGGATTAGGTGGCTGTTGTGCTGAAACCATCAAATGGAAGGATTACATAACTACTATTACCAAAAACAAGGGATTACATAACTACAACTATGAGCCTAGCCCGGCCCACTTCTAGCCCAAACTATTTTCTGCAGAGAGTGCAGACGCAGGTTTAGTTATTGTTTAGTTTTTACCCCAAAAAAAAGTGAACCACAAAAAAGAGTACCAAGACCATTGGCTTCCATTTAGGCCATGGATTGTGGATGTGTGGTCCATTGAATTAGCCATAAAATTTAATGCATATAATAGGATACCATTTTTATACTGTTGCTTCAAAGCCATTGGTTTTTTTTTTTTTCCCCCTAAACTTTCTTGAATTAATCTATTAGGAAAGTTACTAGTGGAGAAGTAGGATTTAAACTTACTATGAGGGTACATAAGTCTTTTGCAAAATCACTTTAATTATTAAAGTTTTACTAAAATATGTAATTTTTTTTTTTAAAAAGAAAGTTTGTGATTAAATGGTATTTTTAAGTCAAATTAATTTAATTGGAATTTACCTTTGGTCTAATTAAATAAAATTATTTATTCTTTTATGTTAAAAAAAATTATTTATACAATGCGGAATAAATTTTCTTAAAAAGTAAAATTAATTTCTTGAGAGAAAAACAAAGGTACAAGAAATTTCAAATGAATATTATTTAAAAAAATAGATATATTTTTTCTTTTTAACAATTAAATATTTTTAAATTAATTTACACTCGTATTTCAAAATTAATTTTTTTATTCACAATTTAACTAAAAACAAACCATTTAAATTAAGATTAAAAAATTAATAAAAATTTACCTAAGCCTAAAAAAATAGAAATGTTTATTACTTTGAAAATTACTATTACACAATTTTATGTGAAAAAAAATATTTAATTAAAAAATTAATAAATCATAAAGGTAATTATCCTCTTCTTCTCCAAGGAACTATGCTCTCCAACAAATGGCTGCAATTTCGCACATTTCCACACTCTTCCTCCACTCACCTCCATTTCCTGCCTCTGCATTTTCTCGCTCGCCAAACAGGAACCGGAGCTACCTTCTTCCTCCTTTAGTCTCACTCCACCCACCACTTGAATCCATCTCCACGTCCCTCCCTCTCCTCCATCGGAAATCTTCCTTTCCCAGCACCCATTCTCGTTCCTGCTTTCGACGCCTCATCGTCAACAATAATAGCGACAACGAAGAAAATTCATTCTTTTCTTCAGCATTAGACTCGCTTCTCCTTCTCTGCGCATCCGTTGCTCTTTCCTTCTCTCTCTTTGTCGCCGATGTTGGGCCTGCCTCGGCCTTCGTAGTCAGCCCGCCGCGTAAGTTGCAGTCCGATGAGCTCGCTACGGTTCGCCTTTTCCAAGAGAATACTCCCTCTGTGGTTTACATCACCAATCTCGCTGTCAAGTAAGCTATGCATCTCTCTGTTTGGTGTTTCAAATTAATGACAATTGAGACCTGGAATGCGCGTTGTTTGTGGATTTCTGAATTATGATACTTTTCTACATGGTTGTAGGCAGGATGCTTTCACGTTGGATGTATTGGAGGTGCCACAGGGATCTGGATCAGGTTTTGTGTGGGACAAAGACGGTCACGTTGTCACCAATTACCATGTGATTCGTGGGGCTTCTGATCTTAAGTACGTTTTCTGACATTAAAGCAGTTAGTTTCCTGTAACTTTGTGAATATTACTTGAATTAGCTGTTGTGAAGTTCCTTGTATGGAGTGTTGGATTGGAATCTTGAAAAAGCATGAATCTTTTGGTTGTCCAAACATAAAACAATCATAAAAGAGGGGGGAGAGAATGAGTTATGAGGGATATGAAGTATTATTATTTAGGACAGATTGTGGTAACTCATGACGTGCAGATGCGATGGTGGACTATCTTTGGTACCTGGGTGGCTCCATTTGTACTTCTGACTATTCAGTGGAGTTTCATTAGGAGGCAACTATGGTTTCAATACTGTGAAATTTGGCAAACTTAGTACTGTTATTCTAGTGTCATACTGTTCCAGGAATTAAATGACAACTTCAGATTGATTGTGTTTCCTTTGTCATGAAATGTTCCTTTAAGTAGCTTCTATAGGGACATGGTTTCTTATCATTATGTTAAGTGTTAACATGGCAATAACATTGGATAATACTTGGAAGCCTGAATTGGGAGAAAATTGCTGTTGGGGCACTAGTCATGGCTTGCTGATGGACTTTTGGTGCTAACTATGTTCAGGGTCACTCTTGCTGACCAGTCTACTTATGATGCAAGAGTTGTTGGATTTGACCAAGACAAGGATGTTGCTGTTTTGCGTGTTGATGCACCTAAAGACAAACTAAGGCCCATACCTATTGGTATCTCTGCCGATTTGCTTGTTGGTCAGAAAGTATATGCTATTGGCAACCCTGTAAGTATTATTTCTACATTCATATAATACATTGTTGCAAGTTTGCACAATATGGTTATTTACCTTGCGTGTTGGAGATTTTATGTAGTGAAACCTGGATGTGAACAAGGTAATCTATATTAATTTATACAATATCTTAAATTCTCATTGGATTGAAATGGAACCATGGAAATCAGTATGGCATCTAATGATATTGCCCTTATATGGTAACATAGCTTATGCATATCCTATCAAGACTCATCATAACCCATTAGACAGTTTAATAGGTTGTTGAATTTTGTGGGTTCAATTGGTAGCATCTTTAACCAATTATCTATTTTCCTTTTGGGACAAATCAACCATCTAATTGACTTATTCATTTTTGTTGATGTTTTTTCAGTTTGGACTTGATCATACACTTACAACTGGTGTTATCAGGTACTGATTTCAGGATTAATTGTCTTCTCTAAAACTTGAATGTTCAATGCCTTTATGAGTATGCAATTTTGAATTTTCATCTAATTGTTCTAGTTTTTCTTTTGGAAAGAAAGAAAGAAAGAAAGAAAGAAAGGGAAACCCTGAATCTGCCCTTGTTCATAAACTGCCAGATCAATTAGTTTTCAAGTAACAAAATGTGAGAAACTAGTAACAACTTTTTTGTTATGACAAGAAGCATTTTTTTGGTACCGCAAGCAGTTAATGGGCAACCAACTGAAAGGCTTATCATTGTCTAACAACCTGTATTTTGCTAAGATATTAGTTCTGGGTTCAGGCTGGCTGGGGTTGGGCCAGTTTTCTGAATGTTGATGGTTATAACCTTGTTCCATGACTAGTTAGGGCTGTTTCCTGGTTGTCATCCTATGTTATAGGACTAAGGTGCAACACATAATGGTAAAGTTTTGAAATTCTTAAGCCAAGTACTGCAAGAGTATATTTTTCAAATTTTGAGGGCAAAAATTTTGCCTAATATGCTAAAAGATACATCTTTTTCAGTTCTACCCTCATAAAACTCCACTTTAATGCATGATTAATGGTCCTTATAATGGTAAAGATTTTAGTTCATAAAACACTTCTATCAGTATATTCTCATCTCCTTTTCAATGTGGTTGTTTGTCAACCCAAATACAAATTTGTGGATTGCTGATGTGTCTTTTATGCTCTTTATAGTGGGCTTCGCAGAGAGATCAGTTCTGCTGCTACTGGTCGGCCAATTCAGGATGTTATACAAACAGATGCTGCTATTAATCCGGGTAATAGTGGAGGGCCACTACTAGATAGTTCAGGAAGCCTTATTGGGATAAATACAGCTATATATTCTCCTTCTGGTGCATCATCTGGGGTTGGATTTTCAATTCCAGTTGATACAGTGAGTATTTGGACCTTCTATTTTATTTTTTATCTGATTACTTCAGGTATTGATGTCTTGTAATCGATTTGAAATGTGAGAATTACCCCATTCTTTTGCTTGAGAAACACTATCCAGTCATCTTTTTTTCATCCAGGTAAGTGGTATTGTTGACCAGTTGGTGAGGTTTGGGAAAGTGACACGACCAATTTTAGGGATTAAATTTGCACCAGATCAATCTGTGGAACAGTTGGGAGTGAGTGGGGTGCTTGTTTTAGATGCTCCAGCAGATGGTCCAGCTGGCAAAGCGGTATGCATAGTTTTTTTTCTTTCCTAAAATGATGCAGTACTACCATCATTTTTTTTCCTGTTCTTGCAAAGAGAGGGAGCCAGTCATTTTTTTCCTGTTCTTGCAGGGCCTGCAACCAACAAAACGTGATGCTTATGGTAGACTGATTTTGGGTGATATAATAACATCTGTGAATGGGAGAAAGGTCACAAATGGCAGTGATTTGTATAGAATTCTTGACCAATGCAAAGTTGGTGATGAGGTATGAGATTTGATTAAACCACTCTTGGCTGGGAAAGTTGACTTCTTTTGATATCTGTTCTTTGGAGCTAAATGTGAAACACAAAGTGGTAAAAAATTTTCCAATTATATTTTTGCCTTTTATTTTGAATCCTGTCTGAGTTATAGTGTTCCATTGTCTTGATGTCCAGGTTATTGTGGAGGTTTTGCGTGGTGATCGCAAGGAGAAGATCCCTGTAACACTTGAGCCAAAGCCTGATGAATCATAAGATGTGAAGTGGTATGCAATGTATATTTTGCTATGATATGTATATACACCAGCAATGGTCATTGTTTTTTGTGTATTAATTGTTCCACACTAGACTTTTACATGCACCAGCTATTGTACCGTTTGATATCAACCTTTCAGCATGTGAAGCTGAAGCTTTGGTACACACACTGAACTCATCTTTTAGAAATTGGAAAATGCACCCCTTAAAGACTTGGATTCTTCAAAGCCTGTGCCTCTGAAATTTTAACGATCAACTCAGGGCCACAGCCATTAATATGATCATGAAACTAACATCAGCCTATAGAAGAGATAATAAACGTGTCACCTGGGAATGGAATCCAACTTACCATGAAAGTCTTGCATGCGTCTCTTGTTAGCAGTCTCATATTGACTTTGGCACTTCTTCGGCCTGATTATAGAAGACTGCCTGATTATCTGATCATGTTTGTAACTTTGCATGCAGTTCTCCTCTGGCAGGTCAAACATCGGGTAACTAACCCTTCTTTTTCATAACATTAAAGACTTTTAAGGCTCGTCATTGACGTGCACATAAATAATGATTATGGAGCATAAGCCGAGCATAAGAACTACTGGTAGAGATGCTTGATCAAGGTTTTCCTTAAGTCAAGAAACTGTTTAGATAATTGGCTGATTGTATATTTGCAAATTATGTCTGCCGGGGCCATCACCCGATCGTATATTTGCAAATACTAATGCTTTGTGAACTTAACCGTAAAATGTAAAAAGAGTCAAGTGTATGAAGATGTGTGCCATAGCTGCCGCAAGATTGATGAATAGTGAGAAATCGACAAGCCCCCATGATTGTATGGGTTGGGAATTAAATACTTTAATTTGAGAGGTTGAGTAGAAATCATCACAGATGAATTGGACACAGAAATATTAATTCTAAGATGTCTCCTAGTCCTAGATTTTTAAAAGGGATGTATTTATTTAATAATTTTTTTTATCTTCTAGACGATTATCATAAGATAATGGCTTCCTTTCTACGGGGTTTATCTATACCTGAATTTGTTCATAAGTTCTCAACTCTCATGGTGATGGGCTTTTGTCATTTTCACTTTATTGCCTTTAATGGTTTTTTTTTTTTTTCAAAAAAAAAAAAAAACGTCGAGAATTGGGAGAAGGGGAAGGGGAAGAGGAATAGGGACAAGAGGTATTGAACCTCGGTTACGTGGGTGAAATACTTATATGTTATTTATATAGACTACTATTAGTATTTATTTTTAAGAGTATTTGGTTTGAACTTTTTTTATAATTGAACATAAATAATTATTTTTCTTCAAAAACTAATATAATCAACTATATTCAAAGACAAAAATTATTAGAGCCAAAAACTTTTCTTCGAAGATATTTTTTTGAAAAACTATTTTCAGACTATATAATTACTTAAAAGTTATTATAATCAATTATATCTTTTTAACCCTACACAATTACTTTCTAAGCCAAACCAACACCATAAACAGGTCTACATCTCTAAATACTTTTTCAGGAAAATCTTAAACCAAACACCCCTTAGAGTGCATTATTGTTATTATTTTATAAAAAAATTATTTTAACATTGGGCTTCCTAAGACTGCCATTCGGATTTTTGATCATGTCTTTTAACAATGGCCTCAAAGAGCCATTTTCGGCCATTGGCTTTTAAGCGCAAACCATGCTGAAAACCCAAACACCAGCGCTTCTTATATTTTGTATCGCCCTCCTGCTCCTCCTCCACTACATTGCTCTCCTTTGATGACACCAACTTCTACTTCCCCAATTTCGATTTCCACTGCTCGATAGTTCAGGAAGCCTTCTTGGGATAAATACATCAACGTATTTTCCATCGTCTAGCACGTCCTGTGGTGTTGGACTTGCAACTGCAGTTGATACAGTGACTATGCAGACCTTGTATTTCTGAATTTTAAAATTTGACAACGTATGCCTTATATAAAGTTATTATTAAGGTAATCACATGTGCATAATTAGTGTCTGTTACAACCCATGGTGATTGACTCGTAGGGAACATTCTAACACAAGAGCTACCCCTTTTTTTACCCCAAGAAACACTGACCCACTCATCCTTTTTTGTGTCCAGTTAAGTGGTATTGTTGACCAGTTGGTGAAGTTTGGGAGGGTGGCACGACCTGTTTTAGGGGTTAAAGACTGCCCCAGAGCAATCTGCAGTGATAACGTTTGGGATGAGTGGGGTGCACTCTTCGGATGCTCCCAAAATAGTCCAGCCTGCGAAGCCGTATGCATAGTTTGTCTTCTTTCCTAAAACGATAGTGTTACCATTGGTTTTTGCAATCTTGCAAAGAAAGAGCCAGTCATTTTGAAAAAATGGCTTGTGACCATCTAAATATGATGTTGATCAGCTATTTAATTTAGATGAGGTAATAATATTAGTAAAGACAATAATTGGTATACATTTTGATTCAATATATTCATTAAAAATTTATTATTTTATAATTTGAAATTAAAAATAAACAATTAAAAAATGCAGCCATACTAATGGCCTTGATTTGTATAGAATTCTTGTCAAATGCAAAGTTGCTGATGAGGTCTGGGATTTGATTAACTCCTCTTGTCTGGTACATTGGCTCCTTTCAGTATCTATTTCTGGAGCTAATTGTGAAACATTTAGTGGCCAAAATTTTTCCATTTTTTGTGCTGCCTTTTATTTTTAATCCTTCCTTTCTGGGGTATAATGTTGCTTTATCTTGATATCAAGGCTACCATGGGGTTTCTGCGCGGTGATGACAAGGAGAAGATCTCTGTAATACTCGAGGAGAAGCCTGATGAAACAACAGACAGGCAGTAGGACACACAATATATTTAACTACAGCATATGCACGATCAAAAGTCAGTTGACTTGCGCATACATCATTGCTTGATCAGTGTCTACCCTTCAGCATGTGAAGCAGAAAAGATGTGGCTGAGCTCATCCATTAGAATTGGAAAATTCTCCAGGGTGAATTTGAATTTAATTTTTGAATTTAAGTTTGGGGTGTGTCTGAAAAATTGATGGAGTACTTTACTACTGGCTATTTCTTTTGATCCTGTTTGATCTTGCTAATATATAGGAGGGCATGAATGAAAACTGTCTCAAACTGTTTCATATCTGCCCCTCTTCAAAGGAAAGTCCGGTGTTTATTTTTCACCATTTAGTAGGGAGAAACTTAGTAACAGAAACTATTGAGACAAGGAGTGTATTGAAATTTTGAAAAGCAGACGCCCATGATTGTGTATGTGTTACGAATTATGGGTCAATTTGGTTCAAACAAATTCATTTATAGAAACTGTTACTTTGAAAAATAAGTTAACAAAAAGCATTTTTAATCAACAAAAAATGCTAAATGCATTTGCCAAAAACTAACTTCCAGATTTATATTTCGGAAGTTGTTTTTGCAATAAAAACATGGGGACCCATTGACAGGTTCTCAAACCTAAATTGGATTATTGGATAACAATAAATGCTACATCTACTTCTTGGAATACCTTTCCCCTTTAAAATCTTCTCATGATAATGTTACAGAGCGAATTCATCAATGCGAGTAGAGCTCGTGGACCCAATTTGTCTAGATGCCAAAAGCATCACTATAACCCTTTCATCTTAGAAATTAATATATATAACATAATGTTGAAGTAGTTTTGAAGATTTTCCATTGTTGACCAAATAACAAATAATATTTTCTTAAAAATAATTTTAAAAGTATTCTAAACAAGGAAAAATAATCTTTAAAGAAAAACATTTTTCCTTTAAAAGTATTTTTTAAAATAGAGTCATTTTTTACTAATCGATTGAACATTAAATACTTTCAAGTTCAAAATTCTAGAAACCACCACAAAGCAATTGACAATTGAGAGATTGAAACATCAATCTCATATGTCTTCTAGATGCTAAAATTAAATTTATTTATTTAGTAATTTTAAACCTTTTATATAAGATTATCTTAAGATAAGGTCTTGCTTCCAATCAAATGATGGTGTATGTACTAGAATGTGTTTGTAAGGTTTCATGGAGATGGACTTACCTCTTTCACTTTATTTCTAGGGCTAGCCATTTTGTGCTACATTTAACAAGTCAATTATGTAAGAGAGAGTTAGAAATATGCTGAAAATTTTAGGGTAAAAAGTAATAACCAGATTTCAAGTTCCCCAGTTCTTGAAAAATGGCACTTTAATCTACACATTTCAGTTCAGTTCATACTGGATTGGAGGGAAGAGAACCTCATCTTTTGCTGGGATGATAACCTCTAGAGCTTCCAATGTAGTATGGTGGCCACATCTTTTACCTAACAAAAAAAGGCAAAAAAGACAGAAGAAAATGCAGAGCAGTGAATACAGTCATTTGAATTGTGTTTATACATCTTCTAATTAAACTGAAAAAGGAAATTCAATATGCATTTTATTATTAAAGAAACGGCGGGCTAAATTCAGTCATATGCTTTATTGGCAGGTCATATTAACTCTTTTACGACACACAGAGAATAGTACATCTAATAGGAAGAAGAAAACTAGTTAGGGAAACAGAGAGATGAGATGGGTGTCACTGCTTGGGTGGTGTTCATACAGAGGTAGGAGGAGAGAGGCCAAACTCAAGCCCCCACAGCTCGAATGATCCTTTAACAAAATCATAGTATCCTCCCTTCAAAGCCAAGGTTTTCTTCACCAAACCATCTCTCACAAAAGGGTAGGTCAGCAAGTTTCCAAGAGACACATTCACAGCTTCCTGCATTGCAATGTAATTTCAGAAACTTTAACCTTTTCACCTAAAAACTTAACTGATACTGTTATTTTAGGATTCAAGAATATATTAATCTGGACAATGCACAGGTATGACTATATTGTACAAAATATCTCCCTTCAAAGCACAAGCTCTTGGTTTATTGTACCTTCTCACAGTGTGTACATTGGTCTCCGAAAGGCTTATCCCCGTGTTCAGCAAGGACCTTGGTCTTGGCAGGGAGGCCAACTTTAACCCAATCTTCAATGAAGTCACTGCAGATGTCAAAATTAAGTTTCTTTGTTAGTGATGTTTTGTAGTTGTAAGTTTTTTATTTTTATTTTTAATTATTATTATTCTTTTAAATATATGTAAAATATTAATTAAAATTAATAAGAATATATAAAAATTATTTAAAATTAATTAAAAATAATAAATTTATATTTTAAAATTAGATATTATATAAAAAAGAGTTATGCCAAATATTGTTAAATAAAGCTTTAGAAAACCATGGATATCTGATTTTCTTTCTTTTAAATTTTACTTTTTTTACACAATAAAAAGGGTCTTTCAAGTTCAAATGGACTAAAATAAATTTAAGTTTGAGCATGATCTTACAAAAAAAAAAAAAAAAAAAAAAAGAGGAAAAAACTTACGTGGAGTTGGGTCCTTCAAATGTGAAAGACATGAGCCCCTTAATCCCACCACAGGCACTGTGTCCAATTACCACAATGTTGGACACCTGCCAGAAAATCAAACAGTTGAAATACATCAATCTCCAAAGACAATACATATTCTCACTTGGCAATAAGCCTTCAGAATGCTACATGGTTCAAATCTCCACCCCGCCCCTTCAAATTTATACTTGTTCAAAAAATTTTTATTTTCCCAACTGTTATTGATTTGACGAAATTACTTCACCTTGAGATGCAAGACAGCATATTCAACGGCAGCTCCAACTCCGGAGTACTTGGTCTGTTAATAAACAGAGATTTGTGTTAGATAGAGGAATTCGTTCTCAAAAATCAATTCAAATTGGATGGATTAAGGAAAGAAACTTTAGGTTATGAAAAGGGTACCTGATCATAAGGAGGCACCATGTTAGCAACATTGCGGACAACGAAAGCCTCCCCTGGTTGGAAATCCAGGACATGAGATGGGCAGACCCTAGAGTCAGAGCAGGCAAACACCATATACTGTAGCAACACATGGGAAACAAGTCAATAACTAACCCAAAAAAAAAAAAAAAAGTGTTGTAAAATTCAGTATAGTTCAGACAACAAAACGATGAACTTATAACCTGAAGTAATTTATTTTAACAAATTGGAATGAATTGAATTGAAGACAATACCGGAGGGCTTTGACCCTTGGCAAGCTCACCGTAGAGAGCTGGATTCCTCCTGAAAAATTGAAGTAATACCCAGAAAACAGAGTATGTTTAGAAAAGCAATATATATATTGATGAAACAGAGTTAAAATGAAAAACAAAGACAGACTCGTATTTTTCTCTCTTGAAGTAAATGAATCCATCCTTCATCTTGTCCACTGCATCGAACGGCTTGCTGTCGGATGAAACACCCTTTAACTCCGCCGTGATTTGGTCCACCTTCGCAGCCGCCACACTTTTCAACTCTCCCTTCTCGCTACAACCATCAATCCAAAACAACATATATGAAGATCAATGATCGTAATTAATTCAAAAAATAGGGAAAAAGAAAGTAGAGTTTTACGTACCTTAGCAATTTCTTGAGAGATTCAATGGCTTCCTCGTACGAGTCTTTTCCCATTTCTTTCCTCTGCAAATTCAGTTATGTTCAAATTCTTACCTTTTTCTTCTGAATTCTTAATTTCAGGGGAAATTGAAGACAAAGATGATTTGAGAAATGCAAGGAAAATGAGAAGAGAAAGCATTAATCTTGCCTGGGGCTTTGGTTCTTTCACTTTCATGCGCCCACTAACTAAGTTCTAAGAAAAACAAAAAGGAAATCATTTCTTTTTTTTTTCTTTTTTTTTTTCTTCTTCTTCTTCTTCTTCTTTTGTTTTTCTGAAATAGAAATCATTTGATCTTATTGGTTTTCATTTGTGTATAAGTTAAAATTGTCTTTAAAAATATAATTTAAAATTTTATTACAAGAGAGATATTAAATTATGAGAGAAAGCATTCATTTTAGAGAAAAAGAAAAAAGAA